TCAGCATCTCGCTCACCCACGTGCGGGGCTGGGACACACAGGCGAGTTACCAAACTTGGGCTGCTTGGGGCTAACTGCACACGCGCGCTGCCATGAACATGTGGCAGCCTATGCCTCACTCAAAAAATATAAAATAAATAAAAACCCCAGGTTAGCTGCTTCAAATGATGCTCTGCTTAGTGCAGGGTGAGGACACACACATGGAGAAGTTGGCATTGCCCCTGCAGGAACTTTTTCTGCGGGCCCATATTTTGTGGGAGTATTTTGGCGTTAGCGGCCTGGGAGAAGAGTCTGAGCAAAAAGGAATTAACCATCCCACCAAAGGTGGATCCCGCTGATCCTGCGCCTCGTTATAGTGCCTGCTGACTTCTAGCTGCCAAAAATCAGGCAGTCCACTGCGGAGGTGATAAAAGGGAAGAAAATTTGCTTTTATGGCAGAGCTCAGAGCTGCATCTGTTTTCAAGTTCTGCTGGAAAAGGCAAGTTCTACCAGTTCCTCCACCCTGATCAGACTCCATTTGCCATCGCATACGTGCTCTTTTGATACAGCTGCTGCTGCAGGAGACACACGACTTTTCTCCAGAGCAACCGACAGAGCTCCTGGACAGATAAAATGGTTAATTGTACTGGCTGGACTTTCAAGGCATGAACCCAACATCTGCACTTCTGACCATGGAGATTATTTTCCTTTCCCTGAACTCTCTTTCACGTATGAAATCAAAAGGCTCCTGAAGTTTCCTGAAAGGTCCTTTCTAAAAACCACAATTATTCCCAGCTGATAGGTTTCTCCTGGTGGTGGTTTGTTTGTTTGTACATTTCTGAAGGCAAGAGTTAGCAAAAAAGCACTGCTAGCCTACAAATTTAACAACAAGACGATCCTATTAGCCTGATGACAGAGCACTGAGGGGAATAGAGCTCTTCCAGCTTCCACCCCCTTCTCGAGCCCACAGTGAACCTGGACCACCATCAGATCCTCCCTGATGTTTCAGAGCAGAGCTTCACTCATGCCCTGAGCTGTGGATGTTGCCAAAACAAACCTCCCAAACAAACTGGCACATGAGCATGCACTTAATTATAGAAATATATCTTTAATGAGCTGAGCTTTGGAAACAAAAAATTCCTGAGCTGCTGACAGAAAACGGACTATGTTAAAAAAAAAAAAAAAGTCACTTAATTTAGCCCCAGTAGAACAAAAAATTTCCTGCTAAACATGCAGAGCTGCAGAGGCTTGTTAAGACTCAAAGTTGCTGAAAGGCAGAGTATCAGTTTCACATTAAGATATTTAAGCCTCTGATAGCTAAGACACTTGTGCATATGCATAACTGTACATGGAAGACACTGAGCTGCCCATGTATAAAGTTCAGCAGATCTATAATTGCGTGCGGGCCTGGGATTTAAAGCATTTCTGATTATTAAGTGTGAGGCTACTGCGTTCAAACAGTTCCCTGACAGTGTTTCTACATGTGGAACGTATATGCTCTCTGCTATAACATGTCTCTGTGCCCCAGTGAAAGATTATGTTTATAAATGATACAAAGAAAAATTATTTCAAAGCCGTGAAAACAGAAACAAAAATAAGTCTCCTGCTGGGTAGCTACCAGACACAATATATTTGCTATGATTCTCCCTCCCACTGTCAAAAAGTAGAGTTTTAAAGAGTGAGAGAAAGTTAAAAAAAAAAAAAAAAAAAAAAAAAAAAAGGGGGGCCCCTGACTTCATCACAGGGGCAGCACCGGAGGCACCGGTGGGAAAATGCCGCGCGCTTTGTGTATGAGCGCTCTGAGAAGCCCCCTGTGCGGAGCACCACAAAGGCGCTCGGTGAAGGTCGAGTGGCCCTGGGGAGGCCGCGGGCCACTACGGGCAAACGTTGAACGGATGGGGAAAAATCAAAGGGAGGCCAACAATTGTGAATGGCGACACGTGGGGCCAGCGCACGGCAACCGCACTGCCCCGAGGTTGGATTCTGCCACTCCAGTAACTTGCCATGGCCCTGGCGCGCTTGGTGTAGTCGGCCTTGAGGGAGCAGCAAGGCTGTAAGTGCGCGGTTGACTTACAGACGAGCAGCACAGAAAAGAGTAGCACTAAGGACCCAGGCTTTGCAGGTATTGCATCTCATACAGTAACACTTATGCAACCTACAGCTGTTCTTTTAGCCCCATTTCGCCATGTTCACAAGTGCCCAGGCACTTTTCAAACACAGACTATTGCTGCTGCTGTAACTGTAGCTCTATCTCCTTCGCTACTCTCTTTTGGCTCTTAGCTGAGTTCAATGCAGAGCAGGCAAACAGTGCCAGGTGTTATAATGACTCTTTTATTTGCCATTATGGTCATTACAATTAGCTTATTGCACCAGTTCAGTGCATATAAATTGCAGAACAGCCCTAGGGTGCTGAAAGGTTGTTCAGTCCCAAACAGCCTGCAGAACCCAGCTGCTATTTATCAGTGAGCAGTTTCAACCCCCAAGCCTCAGAGATTTCAGCCTGAAAAACTGGGGCCATTACTCTCAGAAACAAATAAGGGAGTATTTGACAGTATCACTGTCTGTCCTGGGGCACAGCCCAAAGAAATTCACTGATGGAAGCAGCACTTTGGTATCAAATTGCCAAATTCTATTCCTTTCTCTGACACAGATTCATTCATTTCATTTTATTTCTGAATGTTTGGTTTGGACATAGACCTGCCAGCGAGAATACTCTGTGTAAAAAAAAAAAAGTTTTTTAAAAGTAACAATTTCCGACCACCTATAAAATATTTAGGAACAACAGGGACTGGGGAAATACAAACACCTGCATAGACAGGTAGCTAATTAAATGCACTCCTTGTTACAGGCTGCTTTAAGCTTTCTGGAGAGCCAGGTGGTCAACCTACCTTTGCGATCTGCACACACCAGTTGAGGAGGTACTGGGAGCCAATGTTGTCCTTGTGCTCGCGGATGTAGTCGAGGAGGCAGCCGTATGGCATGAGCTGCGTGATGAGCTGCACGGTGGAAGTGAGGCAGATCCCCAGCAAGCGGCAGACGTGGGGATTGTCAACACTGGCCATCACGTAAGCTTCCTGAGGAGAAAGGAAGGACGAAAGAAAGCAACATGAAACACTTTCTGCCGAGCAATAGAAACATCTGGAATCAGTGTAAAATAAGCTTGTCACTTAACAGGTTGCTAAAATACTATACACAAACAACGTGCCCCAGATCACATGCAAAAGTGTCATTTCTCATTCAGTGGACAAAGCTTTTTCCACTCGATGGAAGGTCTAGGCTTTGAACATGGAGCATTGCTTCAGAAGGTGGTGGAAGGGTATGTCTCCCACTTATGGTACACCAAGACAACGTTTGACAAACTTCTGAGGCCAAAAAAAAAAAAAAAAGAAAGAAAAAAAAAAGGAGAGACCTAAAAGAAATCGCTAAATTTAACATCAGTGGAAGCTGATGGCAGTTCAAGATTTTGAATGTGTAATTGTAAGGGCAACAAAGTTAGGAACATTTTCAGTCTTTTCCTTTCTGAGGCTTCGGTCAAGGTTAGTACTGTTCGAAAGGTCAAAAGTTGTCAGTTAGGATGAGACTGACAGAAGAAGAAAACAAGGTCGAAGAAGCCACATTTCTTAAAAGCCGATCAAAATGGTTAAGAATCAGTTCACCCCTTTAGATATCTGAATACCCATCTTACTTTAACAAACACTGATGAAAATAATGTCCCTAATAGAAGAAGCTGTTTTAGAGCCATATAGCAAGGTAAACGATATCAAAAAAAAAGTATTTATAAGTTTCTTAAAACAAGGGAGCTCATGCTTCATAAGCTCTTTAGTCAACAGGAATTTGGGGTTTGCACTTCATCAAGATGTGAGGAACTCTTCTTTCAAGCCTAGGTTCAACCTAGCTGCCTTAAGGCACCTATCAAAGGTACTCAAGGTACCTTTCTGTGCTCTTTCTGCAGTTAAGGGGAGAGAGAAATCCCTCCAGAGGTTGGTGTAGTATCTTCCAGGCACAGCAAGTGCATCTCTTAACAGGGCCACAGTGAGAAAAAAAGCCCGCCACACTAAAGGATTTTTGCATGCAAAAACTACTTACAGAATTAAATTTGACGTCTATATTTATACTGATATCCACTATTGAGTGCCAACCCAAAGAATGGGGAGGAAAATCAGATTTGAAGTTCTTTCACTAACTTTGTGCCTGATTTACAGTATTTCACTTCTAGGCATCTTCTAAAGCCACTTGATTGAAAATAAACACAATAGGAAATAAATGGGATTTTTTTTTCCCATGGAGCGAGCTTTTAGGCCAGCATTTCAGTTCAGCATCTGGAGTGACACCAACTAATCATCCCTTGACAATTCAGCATTAGGCTGGCAGCCCAAAGAAACGTAAAACAAAAGTCAAGACAGTACTGTGACAGAGAAAGGGAGCAGATCTGTGCTTTTTAAGAGCTTAAGAAATAAGATACCATAGCACTTTACTCATCCTCTAAAAAGCTTTCCACAGATGTCACATAGCTGTGCAGCTGGTAAGAACTATCATTAAATAAAGTCATTAAAGTAATGACGTTCAAGAAATAAACATCCCTGATTCTTAAGCAACACTTTTTGCCCTTGGTATTGCTGTTTTGACATGCCAGCCCAAGCAAAACGTGATGTAATACTAAGACACAGGGCTGCATCTTCGGAGGTGCTAACTCTGCTTCAGCTTCTTTGCTTTAGAGCCTACAGGATGAAAGAAGCTTCTGGGCAGCTGAATTAGAGAACATCTCCAGTAGGACCGTGTAAGGACTGATCAGCCTCCTGCATCGTATGAACAGCTAATTGGGATGCAATCCTGTCAGGGATGGCACTCATTCTGTAGGTGAGTTTGAGAAAAGATAAAACAAGAATGCAACGTGCTAATTAACTAGGTAGATATTTCTGACAGTTATTTTTAAAGGTTCTTTTGAGCCTACTTAATGACACTCCATCACGAGCAGAGACAAAAACATGTTCATCTCTGCAGTGGCTGCAAAGCCGGGCAATCATACCGATGAGCAGCCTCTGCTCCTTGCACTGTTTCCTGTTGGGATCCAGACTAATCTTGTATTAATTTTGGCCGAGGGAAGGATCTGCAGCCTGGGAGCTGCTGGGATCTGCAGCCCGGGAGCCCCCGGCCATGTGCTGCACAGCCTGCGCGGCTGCGGCGGGTCGCTCCGCGCAGCCGAGACGTTGAAAACAGCCTTTGTTCTGACTGTTTATCTTGGAGATCTCGGTGGTACGCTCCGACCTGCTCCAAGTATGCCTGGTATTCAGCAACAGTCTTCTGCATTAGCCCTACCCTAATGAAGCCAGAGAGCGCCTGCCTGGATTACACAGGCTGAGCTGCTTGACTCGCTCTATAGCTCGCGTGCCTCTCTAAAACAAATGGCCTTAGCTGGACTGCAGTCCAGCTGAGGTTTCAGCATGCTTGAGGAGTTGGTAGTGGAGTAAAGTCTTTTTTGAAAAGAGATTTCAGTGTTCTCCCCCCACAACTTCCTTCCTTGTTTCTGTAGGTTTCCTTTTTCTTTGAAATACAGAATGAATTTAACCAAGCAAGTCGTCTAACAAAAGAACAAACTGAAAATAGCAAGAGCTTTTCTTAAGACTCCTAATTCCACAGAAGGGAAAAAAGAAAGGGGGGAGATACTGTGATGCAATAAGCATTTTGATACCTCTGCAGAGCACATATGTAAGACTCTATGCATCTCCTGCCCTGCCTTGAGAATATCTTGATATGCTGAAGGCAGAATGCAATACTATAGACCTAATTAATTAACCTTACTGAATAGCACTTCAATATACATGAATGTATCACAGCTAAGTCCAAAGCTTAGCATCCTTTACGAAGCCTGTGCTACTCTACTCAGTCCACTGTTTACAACAGCTTCAGTTACCTTGTTCCTTTGCTATTTGCATAAAACTAGAAAACGAGGGATATTGAACACCGAGGCCCTGGATGTTTGTACATGTACTCAGGGAAAACCTGGACCAGGTTGGGAAGCAAAACATCTACGTGTGTTACCTTCCAGAGAAAGAATACTTGGGTAGCATTTGTGAGCATGCAGCTGGCTCCTAACTAAGCAACCTGTGAACAAGCACTCAACTGGCACGTTCATTTGGGAAGAGCAAGAAGAAGTGCTGAAGATGCAACCTGCCTGGCACACCCTCCATGGCCTTGCGATGTCCTTGTGCTGACCAGAGCGACCCAGGAGGCTCCCGCTCCGAGGGCTGAGCAGGACTCATACAAGTAGCATGTTTCATGTCACTAAGGACTGAATCAGAGTGCAGAAGCACAGGAAGCTCCACTGAAGCTATACTGAGCACCGGAGCGCTCATCTCCACACCCTCAGCAATTTGCTTTCCTCACAGATAAATATACATCCTCAGTGGTTTGTGTTAGGATGGATCAAGACATAATGGCAGAATTCAGAGTTTTAGATGTTCCTGACTGTTCTCCAAGTCCAAGGAATTTTGGATCTGGGATTCTATCTCCTTCTCTGTTGTAAATCTACACATTTTTGAACCCTCACGGAGGACATGAGCGTGCACATACACACGCACGAGCACACGCACCTACACCAGTCAGGCACTGCCATGTGTACACAAGCAGCCGTGATCCCAGCCCAATCCCTAAAGCAAGGGATGATTAGCTACAGTTAAGCTGATCCCAGAAGTCAATGGAGAAAACCTGAGAGTTCATTTCCATCTTGCAGCCTCCCATGGACATGTAAATCAATGCACCCACTGTCCAGTGAGCTGCCTAGGGCCATGGCTGCAGGCATGGAGCGCTAACACAACCCAGCTCTTTCCGAGAACTGCTGATCTCTGCCCTCACGAAAGAAAATAAGGAATAGCATTCTGTAGCTTCTTCACTCACTTACTGGGAGATTAAGAGGTATATTAAAGGAAGAAAACAAAAATTCCTGCCTCTCTCTTATCCAGCCATATAATTTCTCATTATTCATGGCAGAGAAACCAGATAGCTTGGGTTTGTTATTTCAATTTTATAATGGATGTAGTGCTATGTAACCAAGCAATTAGCTTAATGCTATGTAACTAAGCAATTAGCTTAAGACAATCTGCAATGTTGGGATTGGAAAACCAGATACTGTTGTTATTGTTTCCATTGATACTGCCGTAATGGCAATGAATGCCATAGCATAAGGACTGAAACATCAGAATAAAACAAACGATCTTGGCTGAAAAAGTACAATTGTGACCTATCCTTAGGTGCCAGTTCCTGCCAAGTAAAAAATTCAGTATTCGGACTGTGAACAGGGAGTTCACTGAAGACAGAAACACACTTCACAGTCAATTGTGCAATGGCTGCAAAGCAACACATTACTTCTGTGTGGGGAATTTCGTTTGGGGTGCTAAGTATTTCTGCCCACAGAAAGTCCTGAAATTTGTCCTGGTGTTCAAGGGGAAAATTCACAGACCACTGACGAACTCGGCAAAAAGAACCCAAGAACTTACATCAAGTATTTCCTTGTTGGCTTTGGGTGATGTAGCCTCTCTCAACTCTTTAATAGCAACAGGAATTTTAACCTTCTCCCCTTCTGGGATCCAAAGTCCCTACGAAAAGAAGTACAAAGAGTTACTCAGGCTCATATCCAACGTGTTAATTCTCAAAATTACATCTGCACTTTACATTTTCTTAGTAGAACTAAGTATTCTGAACAATGGGAAGGCAAAGCAGACAATAAAAACAGAGCAAGTACTTTCATTATATACATATATATATATATATTTAAAATCCATGTTCAACATCTTACCTGTATAAATAGCCCAAAAGAGGTGCAAAAAGCAGCCTCTACAGACAGAAACCTAACTAACACTAAGCATTGTGGCAGCTGCATGAGCAAAACCTCGCCATTTCCAATTCATAAACTGCAGGATGAAAAGCATTGGGATTTTCTCATAGGAAACGAGATGGCAATGGTCCTGTACAAACTTTCCAGCCCTAAATATATCCAGTGACAGGTATGTTTATATCCAGCTGCTTTGGTGCTCGGGTAGGAGGCCCACGAAGCACACGGCGCTACGAGGAGACTGCTGAAGTACCTAAGAGGGTAGCTGCATGTTTTCAGAAGTCAGTGGGATTTATGCCCATGCTGCCCATGCTGCTCTTAGCTGCATTTGGAAATCTGCTGCAAAATGCAGAGCTTTATAATCAAAGGCAAGAACCTGCCGTTGATATTTTGGTACCACTGGCCCAAAAAAAGAAAACCTGGAAATAGAAGTGGAACAGGAGAGGTAGAGAAAGACGGATCCTGAAGAATAAAAGGATGAACTGGATAAATGAAAAGGATAAACAAAAAAGGAAAAGAACACAGTAGAACTACACAAATGAAAGTGTATAGACTCTTTGCTACACTTCTGACTTGGATGGTTTGACTGAGAAAGAGTGACTGAGAACTACAGAAACAAGACCCAAAACCAGACAGAAAAAATGCTTAGCACTGAGCTGACCAGAATGCGTTTTTTTTTCCCTCATTTTCACAACAGGTATATTTGGGAGCAGCAATTTTTAAACAGAGATCTTTGTCCCATGCTCAGCAGTATAGCTCTAGTTACACCTTATGTAAAGTTTCTCATTTTATCACCATAGACTGATTCATACATCAAATAATGATAATTTAGTAGTCCTCCTATCAGTTCAACATATGCATACTGCAAAAGCTAACAAAAAACCTTACAACAGTGCTATCAGCAACCAGTTCGTGCTTTGCTTGGGTGGATTCTGCACGTAGGAGCAAGAAGGAGTGAGGAAAGGAAACCCAGTGATCTTACCTTATAAACAGTGCCAAAAGCCCCAGAGCCTAAAACTTTGACCTTCTTAAATTCAGTTTCCTTTAAAATTCTCAGATGAGCCTGGTTTGGTGCCTCCCCGCTGGGTGTCAGAGGTTCCACAAGCTAGTGGAGACGGGGCAGAACGAGACGTTAGGAGTGCAGGAAGCAAGCAGGCAAGGAGCTCCCTTGATCGAAATAATGCACAGTTTATCCCAGTCGCAGTTTATGTGAGGGCAGCTCCACTCCCGACATACAACAATAAATATCTGGAGTGGCTCCAAATTTCACTCCATAGAGTTACTGCAGATGTAAAATCAATCCCAAGCCAGCTCTGCAATCCCACTCCTCCCCATTTGTATAATGCAGAAAGAAATCTGGCATGGCCACCGGCATTTTGAAGGAAAATGAAGGACTGCTACTGTTCAAATAAGACTTAAACTTCAAAGCCTGAACACACATGCCACGGAGAACAGTGTAATTACCACAGATCCTAAATAAGATTAATTTTTTGAACTTGTGAATAAATTACAAAAATGTTTTAAATAACATGCAGGAATCACCTCCAAACTTTCAGGTTTGCTCTTGTCTAACTAGATGAAATTCCCATGGTACCAGAGATGGCTCTCCCTGACCACAGGGATCACAAACAGCAATTTAAATGCAGAGCACAGTTCTTCATCTATACAAAAGGCAGTATTAAAACTTACTGGTGATGTTCTTAAAATTTGGCCTAAGCTCTATTGCAATATTTTACCTACTGCAAACGGCACCAATGCTCTCCAAATACAGACGCTAAAGGCATTTTGATTTTTAAGTCAGCTTTTACCCTGGTGATTTTCTTCTACCTTTCCTTTGAGTAAGACCATATTAAGCTAGATACAATCTGATCTTAAGCGTGCCAGCGACTGTTCTGTTGTGATGAAATATCCTCATTTTGATGAGTACAAAGGGTACAATAAGAGCTGAGCGCAAACTGAACTCTGCTCTTATAACTATAGGCTATGGTAAAATATTTTTAGGGTAACTGTACTGAAAAGCAAGGCAGCTGGAAGGCTTTTACCACTTGACTCTGCAAAGCAGGTGAGCACAGAAAGAAGCTGGAGCAGGGCTTTTAGCAGAATGCTAAACACAATTTGCTAGTTATTTGCTAACGCTGAACTGCAAAAAGAAAAGGGAGATCATTTTAAATGAATGGGTTTGATCCAGGATAATGAATTTCGCCATTTCATGTGAGGCACCCAGAGGGTGCCTGTTATACATATGAAACCTGTACCATGCAGAAAATGAGAAGCAGTGTAGGTACCTCCCTCATGCCCAACAGGGCCAACCACTCACTTTGCAGTGGCCTAAAGGAAGGAGTGCTGCATTCTGGACAGTGATGCATGGGAGGAAGGACAGATTTTAATTAAACTTTCAGGTTAGCTCTGCTTCGACTGCACCTACTGTATTAATGAAAAAGACTGCTACCACCATGGCTCAGCCTCAGCTTCAACAAGTAATAGGACTACAGACGAAGACAGAGTGGCAGGAGAGAACTAAAAGCAGGATTATATTTGAATTTGATGGCTTTGTAACCTTTTGGGGGTGCTAAAAATAAAAAAAATCATCTTCCATTCCTTTCATTGCTCTCCTTTCTCTTTCCTTTTTTTTCATCAGAATCAGGTGCAAAATGGAGTACAATTTTCAAAAGTGCCTGAAGTGCTTCTCAGCCTAAAGGCTTGTCTGGAGTGAGAAATGATTCAATACTGGCGATATATAGTACAGAGCAGCAAATACAATATATCTCACCCTCAAGCTTCTTTTTCTTTTTTTTTTTTTTCCCTGAGTAGACAAGCTCAGTGATTTTCATTGGGATTTAGCCCTTCCAATCCCTTAAAGCTTTTGAAGATTATATCCATGGAGATCAGACTCCAGATTAAGCGAGAAGGTGTTATGTGCAACTGCCTCTTTTCCGATCAGCCCGGCTAACCCTGCTCAGCTGACCCAAGGACACAGTGAGCTACAAAGCAGCTCCACAGAGCCTTGGTTTGCTGGTGCAAGGAGGCCAAAAAGCATCACCCTGAACAATGCAGCTGGCTCCGAGGGGCCATCCAGGGCATTTCAGGTGTGACTGCAGCACTCACCTCCCTCTCCTGGAGCAGCCGGCGCAGGGTCCGCTTCCGCACGATGTGGCGCCGGCGCACGTAGAGGCCGATGCCCAAGCCAACCACAACGAGGCACAGGAGGCCTCCGACCACACCAGCTGCGATGGAGGGGATTTTGGAGCTGCGAGGCAGAAGACGGTGCAGGCCAGGAGAACAAAGATGTTGAGGTGTAAGATTAAAAAAAGAAAACCTATGAGAGTTGATTGAACCATCAGATGTTGACCAAACATTGGGTCCAGGCATCCAGTTAAGCCCAACTGCAGTTCAAATACCTTGTGTATCTGTATTTTTAAGTTCTATATCCAAAGAAATGTTTTTTTGGGGGGGTGTTTGGTTTATTCTTTTTGCTATTTCTTTTAAGAAAAGGTAATATCTTCTGTCTCTCAGGACTGCACTAATATGCATCCACCCTGACCTGTGCTGTGCTTGGCACTGCAGATTTCTCCTCCTCAGTATAGCCACCTCCTCCTTCCCCTGCATATTGCTTCTGCACAGTCTTGCATGTAGCATTCCTGTGCCATTTGCTTTGCTGGGCTTGCACTTTTGTCCTGTATCTGTTAAGTTCCCTTTAATAATCAAGGCACATTTGTTTCTTTATAAAATTGCTCCAGTGGCCATGTGGCAGGAACTGAGCATTTCAGAGAACGGCCCACTAATATATCAAGGCAAGCAATAAAAGTTGACGTTGAAATCTCCTAGCACCTTCATCCTCATTTTAGGACTTTTCTTCTGGCGCGCAGTATTGATTTTTGGAGCATAATTTGCCTCTACATGTCTTCGTTCTTCCCTGAAACTCAAAAAGGAAACTGATCCTCATAGCAGAGACTTCCTACTCTGTGAAGGGATTTTTCTCCTCTATCTGACCAAGCTGCTGGGTGCACCAGCATCAAATCGCTGCTGCCTCTATCCACCTGCACTGCAGAGCACTGGATATGAGCAGCGCACGGAAAGGAAGCTGACACCAAGAAGGCAGCAGCCACCAGCAAGGCTGACATCTCATCATTATGGAGGGGACCTGATGCACATACGGGTAAGGATGTACTTCAGATAACCCACCCTCTTCTCCTAAAGACCTCCAGAAAGTGTATGAGGTCAGATAATATGTAAATATGTTGCAGGGACAGATTGCTGCCTGCTTGTTCATTACTGCCTGGTTCACTTCAAATTTAAATGGAAATAAAAAAGCTTTTTTCCAAGGTTGCCTTTTGGTCCCCATCACAACTTTTTAGGAGCTATTAATCTCTTACAAGATATTAATAGTTACTTTTTAAGGACATGTCTATGCTGAATTTGTCTTGCTACAGAATGACTTGGTGCATGAACTCATGCTATAGAACAAATTGCTGCCCCCTAGTCAGAGAAGCTGTGGAGTTCATTTGTTGCATGGTCTTGAGCAAGTCATGAAGGTCAAACAATGCAAAGCAAGACCTGGTGTGAAGCGTGAATGCACATCTGTGCAGAGAAAGGGCTGGAGATGGATAGATCACAGGGCTAGAAGAGACCCTCTGGGTCTCTGAGCTGAGTCTGCAGCAATGCAGGTAACTGTACCAATCCTAAACATCTCTCAACTCTGCCTCCAGCTGATTACCCTTTCTTTTTACCACTTCTTTTGTTCTCCAGTGACAGATCCCAGGTCTTACTTTCACCTGCCTTCATGACAAATGATTCAGAGTAACTTTTGGAGTCTTTCGCCATTAGGAACATTTCTCAATGCTGTTGTCATTTGTATAGGTCTGAGCCTGCACTAATCTGTCACTTCCCTATGCAGATCTGAAGCCTTAACTTTAGGCCTAGCACAGAAAAGCAAACACACATGCATTCTTTCCAACGCTGCCGTTAACTCCAAAAGATGAAATACTCACCCGTTTGGACAGCCTTCAAGACCTGGCCCTTTGCACCTGTAAAAACAAATGAATATTATACACACATTAGCTCTGGCACACACACTCCCAGCACTCCAACTAAAGAGTGCTATGGATGAAAAGTCTGTGTTTTAGAGCAGCCTGAGTATTAACATAGTTCTTCAGAATGATCATACAAGCTATAAAATATCAATAGCCTTGCTCTGGAAGATTTTATCTAGAGACAGAGCTATGCAGCACACTCAGTAAAGAAAAAAAAAAGAGTATTTTAAAACATCTTTCTGTGATGTGGTTGAATGGAGAGAAGGCACAGAGGGGCTGTGGGCTTGCCAGTGTCTTGCTCTGTGGCTGCACTTGTGTTGGCACAGGCACTCAAGGCTGTTTGCAGCTGAAGACAAAAGCACCACCTCCTTGAAAGGAATTCCCTATCCAGGAGGGCTGTGAGGAAATGCATCGCTGCAGATAGTCCCGCACAATCTGTCTGGCTCAAAGATTCCAATTTCTGGATTTTCCATTGCAACAGAAAACTTCAGTAGCAGACACACGATTCTGTCAGAAAACAGGATTTGATAGCCCTCCCTTTAGTTATAGGCTTTTGATATGTGCCCCTGATATATTGAATTCAGAACCTGAGAGCTTATATTACTGGTATTTGATTGAATCACACCATGGCCTTCATGCTACAGCCAGGAAGGCTTCTAGCAAGTCATTCAGCCTCCACTGGAATACCCTCTATCCATTTTGGCATCCTGATGCAGAAAGTGGTGCAGATTAAAATACAGTGGACATCTGCATTTGCTGTTCAAATGGGCAGGAGAGGCACCGTGCACTTCCCATGCGCTGAGAGATGTATGCTTCTCGCGGGAACTGTGGTCTCTGCGGTGCCTACTGAGGAAGGAGAGCACTACAGAAGGAATTACATCACCCCTGAAAGGCAGGGCACAGCAAAGAAGAAAAGTCCGCTTTGTGATAACTGCTGCCTGCTCTGACTTAAAGAATTGATGCCTCATCCCCCAGCAGCTCCAGAGGAGGTCAAGCAGGGGCTAAGGAGCAAGCCTGTGCCAGGAAACGTGTTCCTCATTCCCTCTTGCCAAAAGCAGGAACCAGAAACTCGTCAAAATGGCAAGTGGAGCTGGAGATTCTATCCCACAACTTGAACGAGGTCTGGGGGAGGAAGAGGGGAAGCTACTACTCATTTTAATTGTTTCTTTTTTGCTTGTTTGTTTTCCTTACTCTGATCTTCCCTCTGTATTTGCCTTGTTTCTGTGCCAACAGAGTGCTCCGAGACCCAGCATCTGGAAGGTCCTGCGAGTTCACTGGGCTCCCATGCAAGAATGTGCATCCTGGTGTCCTCAGTGCGCTGGAAGCGTCATGCACAGTGGTTCCCGCATCCCGGGCGCCGAGCTCTGTTAGCATTTTCTTTCTGCCTACAGCTTGTTTTGTTTGCTCAGTTGAGTAACTAAGCACAAAGAGCCTGCACATGTAGAGCAGAACCACAAGGTTGCTCATGGTCACAGGAGATGCATCTAACTTCGCAACAGGCCTTTCTCTTTGGGCATTTAATGGAGAATTCATCCGGGACCCAAGACCTCACCTTAACACATTCCTATATGAACTTCTATGCAGTAATGCAGCAAAGCTTATGTAGCTTCTGCCAAATTAAGATGTGAACTTGGAAGGCCTCGCGGGAATGCAGAATGCTACTGCCGTCCTTTTAATGAACTCTTTTCCAGAAATTTAGGTCTGTCGTGATACTTAGTGATAGCAAACCCTCTGTGTGCTTCCTAACAGCAAAAACTTTGGCCCAGGGTAGTATGTAGGGTATGAGGAATACCCAGCTGGCCATTTTCCTAGGTTAGAAAGTGGAAGCTGAAGAAGAGGCACAGATTTCCATCACTGCTCTTTTTTAAAAAAAAAAAAAAATCTCGCACACAAATCCATCACAACAAACTCTAGCAGGACAAAGTTAAAAGGTGTTTGAGAAGAAAATGATAGATCATCTGGTGCTTCTCAAATCCCATGTGATTTTCTGATTCATTTCACAAGTCAAAAAAGAAACAAAGTATATGACAAATACCCATTTGAGACTAAATATAACCATCTTTCTTAACGCGGAATTTTAGGATGACACTCAACATAAGTAACCCAGGTTTTATGGAATCTAAACAACTGCCTTTTCCGTTCCTGAATTGTTTTTCTTCTTCTGCTTATAGAAACTAAAATGAGAAATGTGACCATTATAAACTGCCTCAAGATCTTATGGATATATTAGATGGGATCTAATAGCAGTCGCAGTCTCTAAAATATTTCTCTACCATCCCTTTACTGGAAAATTAGCACTGTGTACAGTTCCCCATCCTGAACTCAGCATTTCATCCATCTGCGTAAACATTACTTGTCTCTGTGTAGACATAGCTATTTATTTCGGAAATCCATCAAGATTTTAACAACTTTCTCCTCAACCCACAGTTCCTAATTTGATTAATACAAGCCAGGTTGCTATGATCTATGGCCTTTCAGAGGGAAATCAGACTACAACAGCCTAGGTTCTTCAGTGTCATAAAAGAAATGGAAAATCACCCAGCTCTTTCAAGCCTTACGAGAACTTTCCTCTGCCCTCTCTTTCTCATTAACCTTCAAAATGTGATGAAGGCATTGAGTGTGTGAAATGACACCATGGACTTCCCTCTCCGACCCCCTTGCCTTCTTTCTACTCATCCTAAAATCCCGTCGCATTTAATGTGAAAAATAGCAAGGAGGGCAAGGCACGTAGGGTTCGCAGGGACTCTGGAGGCAGGATATGTCCGTCAGGGCTATTAACTACTGTTGTGCTGTCTCTCTTTCTTGCTATTCTGCCCCACTGGCTACGACTGAATTTAATTCTCCTGCTCTGGGAAAACAATATGGGAAAATCAAACCACTGAGCACTGCGCAGATTAATCAGGCTAGTGTGTTTCATTAGATGCTGGAGGAATAAACTGGGTAAATCCAGGGCTTCTGGGACCTCTCTCTCAAATGGAGTATATTCTCTCAGCTGTAGTAGAGACAGAGTAAAAGGAAGTTTGGGCACAGAAATCCCAAGTTATAAGGGAAATGGGAGAGGAGTCATTTGGGCTCAAGAGGAGACAGGTTCCTCCCTTCTGCTTTCTAATGAAAGCTGAACAAATTGCAGTTTGGGGACTCAGCAAAGAAAATCAGACTAGATGAAACTTTTAGCAGCAATATGGAGAAAGCAATGCACTACAAGTAAGCACAGTTTGGTTGGGAAGGAAAGTCCTTCCTACTTGCAACTTCTTCAGATAAGTAACAAAGGGTCAGAAGTCAGCAAACTTAATCACACTGATAGGTTTTGTGGGCTCTAGACATGAAATTGGACTAGAACAGCAATAACAAAATTGCTGAGACCGTGGAATTTAGGGGTGCAAAAACTTTGCAAGACTGATGATTTCAACCCACTGCTGCTAGAACTGATTGCGTTCCCGACGCGCAGCAAGGAGAGAGCATGAGAAGCAGCTAATGGCCAGCTTTGACCTGTGGTCTTCACAGGGAAAACACTGCCCAGTATTCCCACACTAGGACTCTGCTGCTGCTTACCCATCAATGCCCTTGCCCTAAAAGTCCCTAAATAAAAATTGCAATGCATCCTTCCTGCAGCTCTCCCGAACCTCTGTGGGGCACGGTCTCTTTCTTTTGCAACTATTTGGCAGAGCCAGCCAGCATGTTCATAATATAAACAAACAACGACATATCTAGTCCAATCCTTCCACATCAGAGATGAAATAGATATCATTTGTTATGCTGTAGGGTCAAACACTCTGAGCCACATATGTTCAGCAACGCCAATATCCAATAATCTCTCCTTGCCCTACACCCTTCCCACCCCCTTGGGACACTCCACCACTGCTAGGCAAGCAGGAATTGACTTTTGTGAGGACCTTGGAACAATTTGCAGCTCTGCTCGGAGGCCTTGCTTGCGCACTATAAGCTCGCAGTCGCACTCACGTCTGGCAAATTACATTCTCCAAGCCTGTACTCATCTGAGCTTAGCGTTTGATCTAACTACCACAGCCACTCAGCCAAGAGCCTCGTTCAGATGTGGTTACTGATTACGCTGCTCAAATCAGCAGCCACATTTTCATGTGGCCAGTTATGGGAAGGATATTTGGCTCACTGTGGCCAGTTGGTATCACTAGGGACCAACCACCACAGTCATGGAGGTCATTAGTAAAGATCAAAGTTATTAAGATCCCTTTTCAGTTGAGATCAGCCGTTATCAAAAGCGTGTTGGAAAGCATTGATAAGCCTTGCCTGTGACAGTGAGGAAACACAGGGAAGTCACTGCAGACCACAGGGCAGAGGCCTGTGAGGGAAAAGATCTCCAAGAAGGGACTTTGCTCTAAGAGCATCCAGCAAGCAGGTTCCAAACCCCACACCTCTTACAGCACATCCCGTGTCCATTGCAGGGAGGAAGCCAGGAGAGGCCACAGCTGCAGCTTTTTCACTTACTGTCATGTAGGTGAAACGCAGTTAAAGTCACAGTTCATTACAGGCAGTGGTTTCACCAGACCCCCAAATAAAGACACAGGCTTACGGATTGCTATGATTTTGAGAGATTAAATTAATACCGAGGGCAGGAAAGGTTTTAAACTCAGACCAGGTGCTCGCATACAGAAAGAGCAGAAAATCCCTGTATGTGCCCCAGGCAACCTGCTGGGACTTCCCTCCTGAAACATCTCAGTTGGGGAGGAAAAAGGGAGCAGGCATCCACCCCTCTTGGTGCCTTTGGAGGGTGAGGGTGACATGCAGCCCGTGGTGGGACCCTGTGGAGCTCAACCTCTGCCAGAGGTCACTACCCTCCCTCCCCAAAACCCAGGCGGAGCACCCAGCCAGGCGGAGGGAAAAGGAGCACTGCATCACAGGCAAGAGAGGTTTGTAGAATTCCAGAAAGTTTCTCTTACAAATAAACGAGCCTGTTTTAAGTCCCCTAAACATTTTTTTTCCATTTTTTTTCTCTTTGCCTTCTGTGTAAAGAAGTGCCACTGAACTTTTCCTATTTACAAAGTCGGCCACATGTTGCTTACATTACCTGCATGGTCCTGACCTCCTTCGCTTCCTGCTGGGTTTTGTTGGTGGTGTTTTGAAAGGGGGCTGTCAGGAAGGGAAAGGGCTCGAGAGAAGCAATAACCTATTCCCTCCTTCTTTTCTTTCTTTGTTTCTTCTTCTCCTGTTTTACTAGGCAAGTGCATCCTACTCACCCACGGGTACAGTTGGGATGGCAGAGTTGGCAGACGGAGTTTCCGTCGGCGTATTTCCAGACGAGGGTATCATTCTCCCCCAGCACCCCCGCAGGGCAGGTTTTCACGCAGTGAGGGCCATCTATGAAGTGGGCACATTTCATGCAGTTGTCTGGGCCCTGCAAAGAAACCACGAAAAAAAAATGCTTCTTTCTAGTACCCATACAGTGGCCTACTCAAGAAGAAATTCAGGTGACAAATCTAAATCTGTGTGATATTCAACTGAGGCGTTCTATTCAATCCGCAGCAGTGCTAAGAATGCCCTGAGTATTTTAGCAGGGAAAATAGCAGATCTGGGCCAAATTCTACTAAAGAAAAACAAACAGGCCAGATCCAGTGCTGGTTTCATGGGGCTACAGTGAGAGATGCTACGTTAAGATTATTTTAATTAGTGTGAAGCCTAAGGGCCCCAACAACAGATGAATTACTAGACACTGGGCAAACATGGAATGAGAAGATGGTCAGTGCCCACGGGAGTTTATAATATTGATAGCAGCCCTGAGGCCACGGTGTCTGAGTGAGAAGGGAGGATGGAAATACTTCACATTACTGAGAAGTGACTCTGCAGAGTGATGGGCAAGGGTCAAACACAGTGGCTGCAGGAGAGGGAAGGGGGTGTTTAAAGATTTTGGCTAACAGCACAGGGGGGAGAAGGGAACAGAAAACTTGATTTCAATTACCAAAAAACGCTCTCTCAGACTGAGGATACATTTGCACTGAAGTGCATTTGACTTCTGTCATGTAAAGATAAAGGACCAAGTTCAAATTTAGTTGTAAAATAGCATGACTCCTTTCCTGATATTCATGAGTTTCAGAAAGAAGACATGAATTCAATCTAACACATATTCAAATTAAATTATTTTTCACATTTGCCAATCTAGACACTTCATAAAAGAGCATTTTAAAAATGGAAAGGGGACAAAACTGAAGACGACTCAGGGCTACTGGCAAGAACAGGGCTTTTGAGGGAGGAGATTTTACGTGAATTTGGAAAATGTAAACCATTTTGAAAAAAAAAACCATTCTTTTAATTTTGATTGCTTTTCTTTGAACATAACTTGCATTTGCTGTTACAATAAGTATTTGCTTTAACCTATTAGAGGAGGGAACGTGCTTTAATTAAAAACTGCTTCCTGGCTGTTTTCCAGTCAACACCTGTTTTTGATCACAACTTTGTCCCACATTTTTCAAAGGAGAAAAGCTACTGTATTGATCCATCGGTTTTAAGGGTTATTCTTCTCCTGAATAAGGAAGATCAACTTGTTCAGCTAATTTGGTTGTTTGGTAACTGTTCATTCCTAAAATGGTCACCAAATTCCCTTATGTCCACCCATGTACAATCCTTAAACTTCGCTCTAAAAAGCTGCAACCAGCAAAGGTCCTGCAATGCCTGCAGCTGAGAGGCAATGTGGATTATGCACATGATGAGTGACATAAAAGAGATATTACCTTGAAGACCCCTCTCTCGTTTTTGTCTCCTGTCCCCGCTCCCTGGTTTTGCCCTCTAAGCCCCCAAAATCAGGCCACTCTTGGGCTTGTTTTAAAACACCTGCCATGATTTCTCAGCACGAGGAGGGCACATTACAGGCTAATTCGCCCACATGCAGAGGTTTGTTAAGACACATCAGCTCTTACGGGTCCAGTGCAGGTGGCATTGTAGATGGTGGAGTTTTGCACCAGGCACTCAGGGTGACATGGGAGGCACTTCGAGTCCCTTTCAAACTCCCGGGGCTCCCTGGAAAGTAAAAAAAAAAAAAAAGAGAGAGAAACTATTAAAAGAAAGAAAAACAACCTGGCAAGATGCTAATGAGCGAGTGATAAGCGTTGGTGGTCCCTAACATCTCTCCCATCCCTGTTTTGACTTGCTCAGTGTAACTACATGGGCACAGCTGTGATGAGAGGGGAGGTGACACTGGGAGAAGGTTGTGGCGGGCAGTGGCACACAAGCAGAGCGATGGAGAGGCTGCGCTACGGGACATTTGGTAACGGGGCAACACGTGGCAGTCCAGGCTGGACACTGCAAAACAGCTGACTTTCAGCTTAAGCTAATGACAGAGACTGTCCTCAAAGATCTCTGAAGGGAAGCGACGCAAAGCGATCAGCAGAAACAGTCTAAGGGACTCAGAGGCTCCAGACAATAACGAGGAAAGTTAAACAGAAACACGCTCTTAATTAGATTCATGCCCCCCCCCCAACCCCAAACATACAATGAATCATTAAAATATGAAAGTTGGGAGCAGATGGTTTCAATAGCAATAAAGCTGTTCCACTTCAAGTGATAGTGTTATTAATTAAACTAAATCTACCCATCATTTGACACACAAAAAAATGCCCAGATCTGCCCTTCAGGTCATAATAACTGCCACAGGGAATTTGCTTACAAAAAAAGACAGCTGCTGAACAGCAAGTTGCCAGACAAATGCAAACATCATGGGCAGCAGCACGCTGTCAAGTGCTTTCATAAGAGCAATGATTTTTAAAGGTCCAACTCCAAAGGATTTTGTAACAAAACAAATGTTTGCACCAACAAATCTGTGGACGGGAAAAGCTTTTGAGTATGACATGCATTGCTGAAAATCAGCATCCTTTTCTGTGCTAGCCAAATTTCTGTGCTACCCTTTCCTTCCCTGCCTACAGCACCTGTTGAGCTGATGGAAAAGGACCTCCACAGAGCTGATGGAGAGGCATCAAGATGTTTTGCTTATCCTGAGTGAAGCCAAAGCAATAATTTTCCCTAAAATCCCTGCTCCAAGTGCTCTTCACATTAAGGTTCATTTTCCCTTGACTGCAGCTTTGCAAATTGCAAAGCCCTACCCGGGATTTTTGCCAGGAGCTGCCTGCACTTTCAGCGGGAGCTCCTCTGGGGCAGCCCGGGGCAGACTCTGACCTCTGGAGACAGGGGCTGCAACTCAGCAAATGGCTCGTGTGCAAGTTGGGGCACACGGATGAGTCCCTCTACAGAGAGAGCATCTCTCAAAGTGGGGAACAAAGATCCTGGTGATTGCAATGAGCTCGCGCTTGCACCTGGCGGGCTGGGCATCACAGGCGCAGCTCAGGTTTTCAGAGCGGCTGCTGGCTGAAGCTCCATGCCAATTAGAGCCCCTGCTACTTTCCAACAGCTCTCGAAAACAAAACTGAAACATCACCACCAAACTCCCCAGACAACTTACCCTTGCAGGATATTGCACTCTTTCACACACTCCTTCTGGCGGCCAAAATATTTGCAGGAGAAGCAGTGGAAGGGCCCAGGGCCCCAGCAGCCTATGTCTGAGCACATGGGGTCACAAACATGCTGAGCAGCAGCTAAGAAAAAAGTTTTTTCAAAAAATTAGAGATTAAAAAAAACAAAATAAAAAAACCCATGAACTTCAAAGCAGGAGAGAGAGCAAATACAGTACCGCTGAACTCCATTTTGAGAGCCAATTTTTCCAAATTATTCCAAGGCAGACACTAATGATTCTGACAGTACGGAAGAGGAATAATTATGATTCGCTTAATTTGTAAAGGCTGAAATTAAAAGAGACTTCTGAATTTTCCAAATGAAAAAGAGCTCCTCTGTGACTGCTTAACAGCTATATAATCAGGCAAAATGAGGACCAAAAGAGATCTCTTTCCAAAATATAACAAATTCACATTCTGCAAAGAAAAATCATTAGATTTTGGCCTAGGGATGACTGCAGTCAATAGCAGCATGAGTGCATATTGGCTTTAGCAGACTTCGACATCAGGGGAATGAAGAGAAAAACACGAGGCTTAAATTGCTCTTCCATTTTAGCACGAGATTGCGAGTGGGACAGGAGTATAGCATTGACTTACCACATTCATTTTGATTTCTGTTTTGTATTATTTTTGTTTTCTGACTCTGAGTTGCAAACAGACTGCGCCAGTTCATCGTGTCTGCATAGCAGAGGTTCTTGTTCTTCATAATGGCAACATCTCCATCACTGATTTCCTTAAGGGAGCGCAGCCCTAATGACTGTATTTTCAAATTAACAACTGCAAGGGAGTATTGGCCACTGAAACGGACAGAAAAAAAAAACGCACAGAAGAAAAAGGATGATTAAACAGGGTGGCTTTCTCTTGGTTTTCAAAGCGTGTTGCTGTGAACTGAACTTTGCTCATGCAAGACGTTGCTCGGTCGCTTAAGACATGGTACATGCCTGTTGTATAACAACTGCAATACTCATATCTGGTTTTGCATGGAGATTTCAAGCTAAATCTTGCAGCACGTGTGCATTGTATCAAGTAAATACTGTATAATGGTGGTTGCAAGCAGAAAAGTGCTGGTCCACAAAGCTACCTCCCAGGTAGAGACAAGCCAAGCTTGGTTTGGATGCACTGCCTGTGTCTGTGCCACCTGGAAGCTGTGGTCTCCTTTCCTACTCCCCAGCTCCCTCCAAAACCAAAGCATTTCTGGTACTCATGGTAATCTGCCTGGCACCCACATGCCCTGGACTCCAAAGAGGTGCTCACGCTTGTGCAGACAGCCTGGTCCTGACAGCAGGCACCTTGCAGCCTCTAAAAGCAGGAGGGAGGTGCAAATTTGAGCCTATTAAGGTAAATTCATCACAAAAAGGCTGCTTAACACCTACAGGATTGTTCCAGTTTTGCCCAACTCTCCTGTCACACCTGAGTTTCACAGATCTTTGCACCTCAACTTGCTCAGGCAAGGGCAGCTCTAAACAATTTATTTTGCACTGAGTCTAGCACGTGATTTACTTACTGTTGCTTGGTTCTGCCTCGTATAATCTCCAGATTTTCAAAAGCATAGAGATCAGTAGCATTTTCAGGCCAAGCCTGAATCAACAAAAATCCTAAAATGAGGAAAAGAGGATTAAAAAGAAAACTTGGTAACTTAGTTAGTACTGGAAGTGGAGCCTCTTGCCCCAGATAACATCTCCTGAGCAGGAAGAAGGTACTCGTACTTTCCGTATGCCTTCCTAAGAATTTCAAAGCAAAGCTTGACATTTTAGGGAGCAGGAAGCTATTTTTAAACACTGCCTTGTAAACAATTTACTTTTGGCCCACCACGAGGGCTCAGCAGCACAAGAGGATGGTGTGTCAGTGAGCTGCATCCTGCCATGCTGAGCATCCAGTACCTACTCCGGTCGGCAGCAATCCTGCCAGGGGGCTGCGGCTTTTTCTGTAGCCTGGGAAGAGCCCTGCTCCATCCCTGCTGTGAGCTGCCTTCGAGGAATGGAAAAATAAAGAAGACAGAAACAGAGCAGGCAGTAGATTGGAGGGTATCTGCCAAGACAAGCAGATTTCCCTGGCCCAGCGAGAAGTTTCAGGTAGAGGAAAGGAATTCGGGAAATTGCATTCTGTTAGCTGAGGTTATGAGCTTAGACACTGCTACCTTTAGGGAAGCCAGAGAGATAGAAGAGAGAAAGTAAAGGGGAACTGGCGACATGTCTGTGGGCCCAGCTCTGATATTCCACTGCTTTCCTACTGGGATGAATGTCTTTGACAGAACACAACTGCTTTTAATTGATGCTTGTGCCAGACTGAAGACGAGCACTCCGCTGAGTACTTCACGCTTTCAGAGCCTGCATTTATTTCAGGGAAGGGCTCTCCAGGCTGGAGAGGGTGTCTCCGCAAGGATGATGTAAGCCGCTGAGCACGCTTCCCTAAGGAACTGCTGAAAGGTTTTCCACAAATAGAAACACTCTTGGGTTTTGTTTCTTTTTTTTTTAACCAGTGTGGCACGCCTCTGCACCACCACACACTTCTTGGGTGGCTGAGTATCTCTTCTGCTTTTACTCTCCACTAAGGCTAACAGTTGAGCAGAAGGGATGGTCTGGCAAAACCACACACCTTGGATGAGAGGCCAGGATAGGTTGCGTGGGTGTAAAGCTAGCAAAACTCTACTGACCACCTCTGTGAAAAGTGATCCCTATCCACTCAGGGGCAGAAACTATTTGCTTGCACTTCTCTTCACCATCTAGAAAATAATTCCTCATCTCCCTTGGTGTTTTTGGCAGTCACATCTCATGCTTAAAACATATTGCTGACCTGATATTTCTTTGACTGTTTTGAAGACATCCAGTTTCTTAGGGTCAAGAGGCAGCGTCTTGGTGAAGGCATCACTGAAATAAAAGGAGAAGGAATTGAAAGAAGGAGTCAGCTTGAACTTCTCCCTAGAGGGCTTCTTCCTAAGCCCCTCTCCCCAGACACTGAAAGATCAACAGGCAACTCACCCTAGAAATGCAACTGGGAGTATGCTGACGTCCCCGTTGATCTTGGTACAGTTTTTGAAGGAGTCAATGTTTGTGGCATTTATGGAGAGAATCCCCTTAAGCTCACCAATCCCGATGCCATTGCATACTGGTAAAATGGAAGCACAGAAGTCAAGAGGGGGAAGAGTTACACACAGTCATATGTGAGGGAATAAACACACACAAAAAAAAGATATTAGTCCATAAAGTATCCCCATATGTCAAACCTACCATTGTAAAATCAGTTTCATACATCTCTTGTCTACTTTGGCATATCCAAAAGCACCAAATGTTAAATGCTTCCTGCTTGCCTACTTGTGCAGCATTGACCCCAGCACCCCTGCACACTGGCTCTTGCACACACACTTCTCTCTGTCCCATTTTCATTTTAATTCCTACTGAAGAGATCCTACGAGAGACAAACTACGGGAGAAGGCTAATGTGCAAGACTTATGCCTACAGCTAACACAGTTTATCTAGCTCACCTGCAGAGTATGCCAGCCTGAGAACATGCTCCAGAGCCACTGATTCCCTTGTCTTGGACCTCCAAATTATCCATGGATACTTGCCTTGATTTTCAAATTACCAATGAATATTTATACTGAATTTGCTCTTTGACATCTAAATTGAGGTGAGAACTCCGTATACCTCCTCTAAAAAATGACCTTCTGACTCGAAGTCTTATTATTTTATTCCACGCTTTTCATACCTTTGCTGCACAGCCCGTCACATTTTTTACACTTCCGAACACCATTTTCTTCCACTTCATAAGTATCAGTATTACACGAGCGAACACAGGAGCCATGGTCCGTCACCACATAGTTGTCTGGAAAAAGAAAGACCACAACGGCATTGAAATATCAGGGGAATGCAATGGGGGCTGCACAGATACTTAAAACGCTAGAAGACAGAAGAAAGGCTTTTGAACTTCTGGCATACTTGGGCAAAGCACAAGCATTAATTATTAATTCTCCTGACATCCTTTGAAGGTAGATAGACATACACCATTATCACTATTTTACGGAGAGGTGAACTGTCCAAAGGGTAAAGCAACACTGCCAAGGACAGACCAGCCAGCGGTGCCATAATCCAGGTCAACTGTCGGCACTTTCTGATTCCCGATCGTTATTTGCTCTTCCAGGCCAAAGGCCTACAAAAGACAACAGTGAACCACAGAACAGGACACCAAGTCTGTCCAAGTCTGAACCCTCTCCCACATGTAAGTCCTGTTGTTTAAAAAGCATATTGACATGGAATAGCACAAAGACAAAGCAGACATCTTGAGCAGGGAGATGAGACCCCTTACCCACCTCCCTCAAACCCACCATCTTCCCACAGTGTCTGCAAGCCAAAATGAACTTACGAGGACATTCCCTCACGCACGTGGCTCCAAAGCTGTATTTTCCATCGGGGTTGACATCCATCTGGTAGGTGGTGGGATTATACAGGACTAATGGGGGACATGTGTCCTTGCAGGTGGCATCATCCCGAAACTTGCGACATGCCTGTATTTGAACAATATGTGTCCATTAAACTATTTCCTATTTTTATTAACTGCAATCTAAAAAATACTCTTAACTGGCTGCTTTGTTTCATACTTAGCTCGAATGGAAACCATGAGCACTAGCAGGGTTGTTCCCTTGTGCTTGGGAGGTGGAAAGTTGCATCAGGTTGGGCAATCTAGTTTGATATTTGAAAAAAAGAGCGAACATGAGGTTTTCTTGATCTGAACAAGAAACCTTGGCACTCCAGAGGAGAGCTGCTGGGATTCACATGGGAACAGGGTTGAATCTGCATGCCTCAGACAGAAGAATTTTCCCTACCAAGCCGCTTTTTAATAACATAAATCAAATCAAGTTCTTTCCTGCCGATTACTGACATTTGTGGCTAGGTATTAAACTGAAACCATTATATTTGGCTGCAGGTAATGAACAATTTAGTAGGTATTTATGAAGGACATGTTAGTTCTTCCAACCTAATTCTGCATTAAATTAATAATTGTTCTCTGATTCTCCCTTTATTCTTCCCTGGCTTTCTGGATGAGAGAGAATAAATTGCATTATTTTTTCTGTGAGCCAGTAAGAGCATTCTGGCCATACAGTTTATAAGGAATACAGCCAGGAATGCGGACAGCAACACCAAAACATCAACCCCACTGTTTCTGTGGCAATTACTTGCATATCACTTAATTCAGAATGAAGTATAGTGTAAAGGAGAAGAAGAGTTACAAACACATTGTGTACTAAAACCCTCAAAATCAATCGATTTTTTTTCCTAGGAAAAAAAAAAGAGTGGAGAAGCACTGAGCCGTGACAGCAGCTGAGCATATGGGGAGCTGTGCACGTAAAGAAGCTGACCCACAGTAAACTCTTAGCTGCTCTACAGGAACTTCCCATGTGGACACTTGGAGCATTCTTGGCTTTCAAAGGCACTAATGCCTATTTGACCTGTGTTAGGAATGTCCACCTGGAGAATTAGCAGGATTGGCTAAAAGCTCCGTGCAATTTGGCCCTCTTCCCCTCTGTGGACCCCACATTCGTGTGGGGATCCCCCAGTTGCTCCCATCGCAACATGTGGCTCTCTTGGGCAGCATCATTTGAAGGCTTTCTCAGGTAAAAGAAGGTTACAGGGCATCCAGCTGGACATCTGCCTAGTTGGGCCATGGCTTTAGGCAAGCTGTTGCAGCCTCATTACCAGACAGTCGCTCTCCCGAGGTCCTGTACACCCAGCAGCACACTGGTTGTGGCAGCAGTCACTGGGCACCTTTCCCCTGCACCGTCCAGAGCACTGCTGGGCACAGATGACTTTTGTTACTGAAAAACAAGTGGGGAAAAAAAAAACAAAACAGAAGTTAGAGCACTTCTAAACTGTGTTTGCTACAAAGAGATCAACACTATGGAGAAATGCCTGCTACGTGATCTGTGCTAGAGGTTCTCCATGGGCTGGTGGGTTCTGTCCCCAGGGTCACGATGAAGTTAGAGGAAGGTGAGGCCAAGTGCGAACAGCTGAGACCTCTCCTAGGGCTGTCAGCTAATCACCCGGGGATAAAAGCTCCAATCTTGCCAGGTAAAAGCACTCGGGTCCCAGACAGCAACTGCCTGCTGTTCAGCAAGAGCAGCTGAGTGCCTGTGGCAACAAGGACTAAACCCAGAAAAACTCCATGGAGCGGCTGCACTTTACAGCTGGGCAGTCCAGCAGGATGTCGCTCCATTTCATTGAGAGAATCTGCTATTATTGGTGCTAGCTTGGGGAAAAACAACATGACAGGAGGACTGCCAGGGCTCTGGACTATAACAGGAAATAGTACGTAGTTGGTCTGCTCCCTTCAGTATACTAAGATTATTTCTGAGCTTTTTCAGAGAGAAGGGACCCCACTTCAGCAAACTAATTTCATATGCCTAGAATATTATTTTTATTTAGGCTTCAATTCCTTGGCCAAGTTTTATCTTCGTTAGTCAACTCTCATGGGGTTTGCACCAATGCAATTCCAAGGAAAAACTGGCACCTCCTCATTTTTTTTTTGCAGGAGAGCAAAAACTGCCCGCAAGACGTGGTTAGAATGGAAATGATCTGAATTTGAATACCAAAGCAGAGAAAACAATAATCAGAAGAATTTTTTTAAAAAGGCAGAAATTAATGGCTAGCATGTGTTTGTACCACAGGCCAAGGTCAGACTGTGTGTTCCCAACAGAAAAATGACTGTCCCACGAGCTCTGACGATCAGTGCCTGAACACTCAGTCAGGGGAACTGGATTGCTCATCGGCTGCATTACAGCATCCCAAGCACTTTGGATGTGCCTTGGGATAGCCGTTATCAGTCCCCTAGTTGGGCACAAACGAGTTACAATATCATCAAGAACTCCTTCAAGTCAGAAGCAGATGGGTGTTAATTAACAGAAAGTGTAACCTGCTTAAAAAAAAAACAACAAAAAAGTGCATTTTAAAATAGTGCTCTTTAAAAAACAAAAACAAAAAAACACCACACTTCCTATCTTTTTCTATTACACATGTTTGTATCCAAGCTGTATTGTTTCATTTTTCTTGTAGGCCTGTAAGCAAGATACTGTATTTTCAAGGAAACAGATTATCTCCACAATATGTATTAGCCTCTCTGATAACAACTCCTCCATTGAACCAGAAACAAGGGAATAAAAGGCACATTGTTCTACACGAACAGCATTTTGATACCATTTTTTTCATAAGCATCAGCAGGGGAGTAAAACAGCTCATCACTTTGATAGCAACTGACTAAAGCTTCCTGCTGGAAACATATATCATGGAAAATGTTTATATTTCATACAGAATATCCCACGTTCTTTCAAGGAGAAAGAGATACATATCACATCGAACTTTCCCACATATGGAAATGTGGGATACATTTGCAGTTGGCCGAATCCTTAAATGTTTTAAGAAGAGAGCCAGCACTGGCAAATGGTTTTGTTTTAAACACTCCAAATAATCCTCTTGAAGTCAGGGAAAGTTTGTAAATGTCGAAGAGCCTGAGCACGGGACAGAGACCTGAAGTTCTGCAGCCCACGGGACAGCTGGGCCGTGTCAACCGTGGGGGTCAGCCTAGAAAGGGCTGGTGTGCGGAACCACCGTCCACCCTGAAGGGAGCTCTGCACGCGTGGCTGCTGTTGAATCAATCTGCAGAGGTGACGGGGACAAACCAAAGCTTGGAGTAAAGGAAGAGGGAGAGGAGATGCATTCATTTCTTTTTTTTTTCCTTAAGATCTGGAAACTGTATAAATCTTATGGGCTTAAATAATAATTTACAGGGGAAAAGCCTGAGAGAGGGCCTTGCTTTCATTTGTGCAAACATGAATCTGCAGTCTTGCACCTGAGCTTTGCAGAGTTACACTCACACAAAACTGGTAGGAAATACAAAACAGAAACAATGTGTTTTCCCACTTGTTCAAAAAAAAAAAAAAAAAAAAGAAAATGAAATTGAATGAAGAATTAAAAATATGTGAGATGGTGTTCCTCCTCAACCTTTCCTTAAGGAGAAAGAAAAGCCCTGCAAAACCTAAAGCGTTTCTGAATGCTCTCTCAGTATCAGGCGAGCAACCTAAATGCAAAATTTTATTGTAAAGTACACACTACAAAGCCGAACAACCTCCTAATCCCAAATGGCTCTGTTTACAAAGACTAAAATGGCCATTCATTTTCTGAAAGCCTTCAAAAGGTCTTCCAAGTACAGCGAGGTCCTGCTACATAGTGTTATTAGCCATATGATGGTGACAGTTCACGGTTATAATAGAAACCTACCAGGACTCCAAAAAGAGGAATTAAACCCAACAAAACCCAAACTATGTTGTTACTTCTATTATCAATCAAAAGTATGGCTAAAGAGCCTGCAGAGGCTCTCTGCTGGAAACATTAGCAACACAAATAACTCACTGTGTGGCTACTGCATCACCTCTCTATACGGTAAAACAACTTTAAAGCACCCATGTTCTCAAGTTCAGAGCGGGGAAAGTCACAGAGGGCAGCAAAGGCTTCCAGCGCAGGAAGCAGCTGCAGCCCCAGCCGCCCTGCAGCAGCAGCAGCGCCACTGCTCCGAGGAGCCAGCACCACTCTCCTCCTGCACCACAGCTCGGCTGCTCCGCGTCACGCCGGGCAAACGGGCTCGGAGGAGGCTCCGCGGGGCAGGGTGCAGCAAAGGACGCACATGAAACACGTGCCCCTCCACTCCTTGCTTGGCGGGTAAACTATGCAGCAATAGCAAACTCGCGTGGTTTGGTTTGGCGCTTCCAAGATGCTTTTTAGTTGGCTTACATGTCTGGCAGTTCTCTTCACCAGGGCCCCAGCAGTACTTCTCTGTGCAGTTCGGATGGCATTTGGGACCTAAAACATGAGAATGGAGTATTTATAGAACCATTTCTCCTTGAAACCCCAGACTACCATGCCATCACCTACATGAGAACTATCAGAAAGAAAGGAAGCCTTGAGCTGCTAGTTTCAGTGAAACAGTGAAGGAAGCACCTGTATGCTGGTGCTCAGAAATCTGGAGAGAAGCAACGGGACTTGTGGGCAGCTGGCAGTTATCCTAACCACTGGGCAATGTGACTGGTCTGCTTCACTCCTGTCCTCGGCCCCAAATCCCGCTCACGTTGTGCAATCAATGGAGACGCAGCAGGATGAGCGCCCAGTGTGACCTTTAAAGATGAGCATGGGTCTCCCATTTCTGATCAGTCCTTTCCCATCCTTCCCTCCTTCCTCTTCCCTCTCGTGCGTGCTCGATGCCTTTTTTTTCCTCTTTTTGTTTCTCAGTGACAAGTAAAACCTCAAGTAAGGCCTCATTTTAGGCTAACAGGATCATTATAAAGGCACAAATAGCTGTCTAAACAGATTAATCTCTAATTCACTACACTTAAGAAGCATTTCCTCTTCAGAGTGATTCCTCCTGCTAATCACACGTGATTCACCCTCCCCCGCACCACCCTTCAAATAGCTGAATAAATGCCAATACTTGTCCAACAGTTGACTGATTTGGTACGGGACCAAACAACTCTATTTTTTTTTTGAGTTTGAAAGTTAAAGGTTAACATTTCTATGATGTTTTTAGAGCCAGACTACTCTGCTGACTTGTATCGCTTGCAAGCCCTTGATTACGCTAGGGCTTCACGGAATCTATGTTAAGACAGAAGTTGACTATTAGCTCTCGGGCAATTACGCAACTGGAAGGAGATAAAGAAAATGTGCTTTCCGCCCATTTACAGCGCCAGAAATGAAACGTGCAGAAATGAAAATAAACTCTCCTTTCCGTGAAATGACTGGGGATTTTACAAGGGACTAGCGGTAATAGCTTGAGCCTGCTCTAAGCACAGACATATGTTACAAAAACTTTTAAATACACGCTCATCTCCCTGGTGATCTAAAGCATCATATTTATCTGACAACGATGATTATTTTTGCAAGGCTTGTCTGGGCAGCCCGAAAACAGAATTTTCACAGCCCTCGCAGGCAGCAGCTTGGGCCTTAGCACAAAAGGGAGCATAAGCACCATGGGTCATCCACAAAGGTATCTGTAGCGATTTTCTAACCCAGAGCCTTATCCTGTAAGTAGATAATTACTGGAAAACAATTAGGTGCACTTTTTTCTGCATTGTGTCGCTGTCCTAGGAGAAACATAAGGGATTCTCTGAAACCAAGGAAAGCTTTCTCAAGAATTTGGCTGAACTATGAGTAAGGACCTAACGATGATGAAAAACTACATCTTCTGTCAGTGGTGAAGAAAGAAAATGATATCCCTTACAGCAAGGACATCCCTTGACTCCCCTCTATACAAGAATTAGTAGAATTGGTAGACTCCCCATATGCACATACTCTGCTCTGAAGCACATAGCATTCTGGCAAATTAATACTTACAAGAGGACAGGTTTCTTGCAAAATCGAGCACTGTAGGAGGATTTTTGCTTGTGTCAATGATGTCATTCCACTGGACAGTGTCCATGTTGCATAATTTGGGGTTGTTGCTGATTTTAACACCTCCATTGAGAATTTCTATGGTGGAAGGTAAAGAAAGTAATAAGCAAAGCAAACTGGGCAAGTCTTTTCTCTCATTTACAGAAAGGGAAATAAAACATTAGATTCAGACAAATTGGTTCTGGAGAACTGGCTGCTGTAGGATGCCACTAAATCTCTGTTTTTGCCTGGCACCACCTCTGGAGGCCATCGCCTTCAGCAGAGATGGCAGAAGGGACCTTGTGTGCACCAGCTTCAGCTCACCCACCTGCTTCCTAGAGCAAACACTGCAGGTGAACTGGTTTGGCTGAAGACTGGATGTGCAAACACTTTCGCTTCCTCTGCTACAGGTGCTGTGACTCTGGCAGAGGTTCATGTGGGCATGCATGGGCACAGATGGTTTGTATGGCCACAGCTCATCAGCCAGAGACCCTGTGAGACACTGGCTCTGCACTTAGTGGCAATTCCCACTGCATTTAACAGAAAACACTGAAGCATATGCACTGGAATAAAATAATGAAAAATAACATATCATGGCAGATACGTCCAAGAATGCTGACAAATTCTTTGCCATTTTGGGACACTCAAATAAATCTCACTGCCCTCTTGATGCCTAGGATTTTTTGGATCTATTTCCAGTGGAAAATTAGGAACTTTATTCACCTTATAAGGAAGTCTAGGTAGCAGGAAAACAAGTGGCCAGATCATTGCTTTTAAAGCAGGATCTTTGGGAGAAGATCTTCCACAGGATCTTGCTACCAATAATCTAACAGTTGAAGTTTACTTCCACCTCTCTTACCTGACAGCTGTCTCATTGGCAGTTCACGGAGTCCTTGGGTTTTATTCATGTGGTAGTTGGATAAAACTGCCAGAGCATAAGAGTTGTCATAAAGCACATTGCCTCGGATGATCTGAAGATTTTCTAGGGGAATTACATCCACCATGTTAAGTGCGATGAGCACGTAGCCCGCAACCTCCTGTATGGACTGCAGGAACAACAGAAGAAATGAGATGCTTAACCCACAGCATTCTTCTACAAGTCAGTCTTATCTCCTCTTTACATAGTTGTCTTCCAGCCCGACCACCTAGCTGAGGCTCATGCACTCTCTCTTCTATGTACAAATACCAAATATATCAAATCTGCTGATCCCAGCAGAGGATGAGATCAGGGAACTGCTTCTTGCTTAAGTAATAAACAGTTAGAAGAAAAGTGAGACTTTGCTCTTGCATACATATGAACGCAATCTGTGTTTGCCTAGTACTGCGCAATGTATGCATTTCGGCTTGCTACAAAAGCTACTGTAAGCGAAAAACTCTCAAACTACCACTTAGGATATTCTTCCATTCTCTGTAGACTAATAGCGATTTTTCAGAAGACCTGTTGTGTTCTTGGCGACATGCGTTTCTTGGTAAAGTTATGCTTAGAAAGAGTAATGGCAATTTCGTCACATTTATAATCCATAAACTGCACTTCTCTCCTGATGTTCTTCCTTGCTACTACAATGAAATGCCTTTTTCCCCTCTCTCTATTCCCTGAGGAGGAAAGGTCATATTATGAGATTACTCATCCAGAATTAGAAGACTGGCCCATTTATTCACATCTTCTGTACAAGAGCTCTTAACTCCAGACACACACTTATGCAAAAAATGCTTCCTCCTCTCCAGTTTCTTTAAAATCTTGTAATCTGACATGAGGCACACCAAAAAGACTGCATTTAAAAGGGTGCTCTGTTAAACCTGTCAGACACTACCACAGTAAGAGATGAGCTGCAGTTTGGAGGGGAGGGCCTCTGAGTTTCAAAATCTGCCATCAGCGGGTGGCCACCCAGTTCATGATTTGCTCTGACCAACATTGTGACAAAGCCTTTTGATGAGGGAGCCTATGGGACACACAGTTAATGGCATGTGCAAAAAGGAAGCAGCATTGCAGCCAGCACAGTTTAATAGGGGCTATTTCTTAAAGAACATGATGTATTATTTTCAAGTCCTGCATATCCTGGAGCTGACAGGTACACTGAAATTGCGATCTGTGGTTTCTTGAACTTAAAATATCTAACTATGCTTTTGGAAAGCATGTCTGCTTGCCACAGAATTTTACACACATATTTTATACACAAATACTTCCTTGCATTCAAAAATGAATTCCTTTAGCACGCAAACTCACACTGTCTGAAACCACTAACCTTCAGGAAGGAGAGGTCACGATTGTGCTCCACGTATGTAATCTCTAGGTTGCTCAGTACCACCTCACAGTTGTTATACATCCTCTGCAGGCTGGTGAAATGGTCCTCCACGTGCCCCAGCTGCGTCAGCTTGTTATTTGTCCCTTGACAAACTGTTGGGAAGAGAAGAGAGCTTCAATGAAGGAAGGCATGAGTAAATACAGACTCAACACTTCTCCATCCATCTTCATTAGCACCATCCTAAGTGAAGCATCAGCACAGACTGCCTCAAGAAACAGCACTATCTCTAGTTTCTATCTCCCCAATGGCAACAGAGTCGACAGCACAGGAATAGCTGGAATAACCTTCCTTCGCTTTTTGACTCTTTGAAATTAAAAATAAAAAAGAAAAACAAGACATAGCTCCCATCTGTAAGCAGCGTTAGGCTTGCTATACACCCACATAACTCAAGCCCTGAGGAGAGGGCACAGATACAGTGCCATCAAACGCTATTCCAAGCAGTAATCCGCTCAGCAAAGAGATGGCTATGGATGTTACGGATTTCCCTAAGGAGCCTTTTATGAAAATTCAGTGTCCTCAGATTCGCAGGGAAACCCAGCAGGTGGGAGGGAGAGGAGAAGGGTGTTTTTTTTTCCTGCCAGTCCCTGAAGACTACAGGCCTGGGAGTGGAGAGCAAAATGAACCTCCAAAGCTCTTGGATCTCCTGCTGCTGTGTCATATCGTGGTATGGTAGATGTGTGGGAACTCCTCAGCTTTAGCATACAAATCCTCCTAAGCCCGTTTTGCCAGTGGGGAAGCTAGTGATCTCACAGGGAGCAGCATGAAGAGTACATTTACCATGACACAATGGAAAAACTAGCCCCATCTGAACCTCTATTACTCTGCTTTGTCAAAACTAATGGAATTGTCAAAAATTACCACCACATTTGATTGACGCAGAAGAACAGGAGGCAAATTACCTTAACGCCCCCACTCCTAAACCCCAGAAACAAGTACTCATTCAGCCATTCCCTGGATAGCTATTCCTGTATGCGCTAGGCAAATACAGAGGAAAGGAGAATGACACGGAAGACAACACAAAGACTTCACAGGCCCAGCACCTTCCAGGTGGAAAACTTCAGGCCCCCTTGGAGATCTGCCTTTCAGAGGGAGCAGGAGTAGGCCTTTATCTCATCATGGCTGTAAAGAAACCCAAGCCTGACTCCTGCCTTTCCTCAGGACACTGAAAGAACTGCATTATTGCTGCTTAAAGGAAAAAGCAATCAAAACAATCATGCTTTTCCCACTTTGCACAGCCATAGTTCCCAGAGGCACCGATCACAAACCAGAGCACCGTGGCAAGGGGCACTACAAATCGGGTAACACAGACTCTTGACAAAGCTACGGAAACAGCTCTCAGAGCTAGCAAGGTATGCCCCTGTTGGAGATTTACCAAAAAATCAGTGTTTTTAAGGAGAAAAAATAACTTAACAAGCACTGATGAAAATACATTCATCAAGCATCAAAGCCCTTTACTGAACATGTGCTACTTCTCAGTAACAGTCATCATCACTAAGGAGCTGCAGGGGTATCAAAAGAAATACTCCTCGTCCATGCTTAAAACAGGCTCTTCACTCACATTCCACAGTGATTTCTTAGCACAAGTCAACAGGAACATTATGGCTTTGGGATCAGAGCAGCAACTGCTAGGAAACAGGGAAAGTTTAACCGCCTAAGCTGCTTGTTACTACAGGAGGACCAAGAATAGAAAATCACCCTTTTCATATTTGCCTTGAGTTTTTGTAAAGGATGAGAAATTCCTAAGCAGGATTTTCTCCTCCAGTTTCAAGTTAACTGTTCCAATATGTTCACATTTCAAAAATGAGCATCTGAGTGCTCCTGCTTCAAGCCGGAGGAGTGGGAATGCGGACGGAGGGCACAGTTACTCACACATCCCTCTCGCCGCCGCCCGCAAGTCACGGCACAGAGCCAACTCAAGCTACGCATAATGCAGGACAACAAATAAATAAGTGGACAGAGGGTATTTTTAGCTCTGCTTCTGAGCAGCTATCAAGATTCAGACAGGGCCACCCAGTTCCCCACAAGACACAATCTTCTGTTCGCTCAAAGAGATAGTGTTAAATCCTCATTTGCTGCAAACAGTTCTAAGCAGATTAAAAACCAACCTCTTCACAGCAATATTTACTGGAGGAGAACCTGTGACCAAAACTGCATATGCTGAAGAAAAAAGCGAAGTCAAACAAGAAACCTAAGCTCTGAATCACTGAATCCAGGCAAAGGTGTTGAACAATTTACCAAATAAAATGTTTGGGAAGAAAAGACAATGGTTTGGCTGCATGCGATGATTAATACCATTCCAGCAATTTCTTTGCTTACACAAACTATGTTCTGAAAAGATAAATGCTATAATTACTTGCATATAATGCTATAGAACGAATGCTGCTCTGGCTAGAGGGAAAAAAAAAATGCACTGTAATCAATTCTTTAAAATAAAGCAACGCAGGCTGTGATTCCACATGTTTCAGGTAATAATGGCAGATAATTTTGTCTGGCTTACGTAAAGCTGCATCTGTGCCGGCCACGTAGGCACTGAAAATAATAGCAACCCAGTGCGGTTGTTGCCTCTTTCCATGAAGATTTAAGTGGGATGTGAGCAACATAAGTGGGTGGATAAGCTATGCCATGCTCATTCATTATAGAATTTTGTTTCCATGTTTAGCACGTACAGCTCTATCCAGTTTTAAGAGTCAGTGATGTGTATGGATACTTCCATGGTACATACATACATATGTATATGTACACCACCTGCTTCTTTACGTAGCTCACGTGCACATGTAGAAATGCCTGATGCACATTTATTTATATAAGAGTAGGGAAACTGGAGAAGTTTCCATATCAAAACTCAGGGTCAGAACGTCCCCATGCAGCAGAGAAGTCAAGATCCCGATCTGAACTTTGGAGCGTGGGCTAATCTCAAGAAGAGCCCAGCTTTGCTCTTATCTGTTATGTTCATACATCAAAAATATGAGCAGCCTGGAAAGTTCTGACACGGAGATGTCTTTCCAGGAGGAAGTCATCTGCAGCAGCACTTGGATGAGGCTGCAGCCTGGGAGCCCAGCGCTCTCCTAACCCAACCGAGGCGACTCGCCAGCCCCGGACACTGTGATGAGACATGGACGTGACTCCAAGCGCTGTTGGACTGAGCATTTATTTCTTTGTGATGCTGTTTTTTGTGGGTTCACTGCACTTTCTGCATGTCAAAGTGACGTGGTTTTCAATTAGCCACGGTGTTCCGGCAACAAATGGCCTAAAAATACAAATACTGCTGAAATGATGCAGAGTATCAAGTGCTTTACAGGAGAGCAATGGTGAAACAGCCAAAACAAGCAGCACACTCTACTGATGCACACGTTTCTTCTTCAAGATGTAAACCAAATTTTAGTGCTTACAAAATATATTGGGTTGACTGCCTTGGATAATAAAATCCTCTCTCAGTCCTTTAGTAAAATGCCCATTCCCCTGCCCTGCCTCAAGTTTGGCTTCAAAGGACCATTTCTCACTGATGCAACCAGGATTTTCCCCTCCTCGACCTTTGAAGACTGTCAGTAAGGATGCCAACTTCTGCTAATCCCACCACTGCACAAAGATCAGGAGCTAAACCAAAGCTTTTCCTAACTTATTTTTTCCACATGTGATGTTAGGGACCCAGAAAAGCAGCCATCTATAATGCTAACCGACTCTGGAAATATATTGCCTCAAATCCATTCAAGCTCAGATTAAAAAAAAATGGTCCCTAAGGTAACTGCACTGATAGAAGCGAAATTGGTTTTTATTTTTATTTCTTTTCCCCACAAAACCTACAGTTGTTGAAGCACCAATCCTATTGTGCATATTTATCCCAGACCTGAAAAAACCCCATGAGAATGCTTTGAAACCAGGTTCCCATCAATCTCCATCAGTGGTTTCTGCCTGCATTTTGCATGATGTGTTACCCTCCCTGCAGCTCTGACATATGCAGCAAAATAACTCAACAAGGCAATTTCTGAACTACACTAGCCCATTTCCATGCCTGATATATCACCTATAACACTATCCTACCTGAAATAATAAATTCATATAATTTTCCCACGTGTTTTCCAGCCATCACTGAAAATAATGCAAAACCTGCAGAAAGAAGACTATTGTCTTACCCTGCGAACATATTTGTGCTTTCCAGTCTCTTCACTCATTCGCAGCAATTACATTTTTGATTCTTTCCAGTATTTCAGGAGAGAACTGTACCTTCCCAGACAACTGTACCACACACAGAGCTGCCTTACAAGGCTAGGAGAAAAAACAGTAATTTCTGTCCTAAAAACAGTGCTGTCAAACTCACCTTAAGCAGGGCATGGGGAAAAAAAAATCAAATGAACTTGAAACATTTGGTAATACTGCACAACATGGGTATGCATAGGCAATCACACATACATTTTGGGTTATACCAACGACTGAACCGTACTAGTACATGTCCCTTCCTCTGCACGCACACAGGTGCCCTTTCTATTTTTAAAAAGTGTATTGATTTATCTATTTATTTGTAATTGGCCTGCTGGTTACCATTAGCATGAAGTTCCCAAAATGGCTAGTCCCAATTACTATAGTCTTTGGGCTCACAACTATTTGCACGTCCAAAATGGTCCCCTTTTCAAGCGAGACCCATGACCTAAAAATTAAACGTTTTACGTGGGGCAAGTCTACCACTCATTTATTTGCCACCAGCTAATAAATGGCCTTCAGATTCAAAATTAGAGCCATACTTGAAGTACTATGTATATATGTGGGTAGGGAGGGAAGAAAGGTGCTAAATTATACTGTTCTTCGAGTGACACCCAGGCACCGTGTTTTGGGGACCTAAATTCAGCACCATTTGGAGAAGGCCAGCCACGCCATAAGTCGCAAGGGGGCAGCGGAAAGGCTTGCAGCAAAGTCAAACCAGTTTCTATTTAAATTCACTGAGGGGGTGGAAGAACGATAAATGCAAGCGGCTAATGCCAGACTAAACAAGAGGGATTCCCCATTTCCTCCCTCCTTTGCTGCCTCCACATGCAGCTTCGCTGCTGTACGGAGCACATCTCTCTGCAGCTCAGGCACAACAGCTCCTGCAGCCTTCAGTGACTCTCCTGTCAAACCTTGCATTTAAAATCCCCCTTCCCCAGCTCAAGAATCACTCATTCTGCCTTTAAAAACCCAGTCCTTGCATTATTCAGACACAAAGATGTGGTTAAGCTGTAAGGGACAGGTCCTATATATCCAATACTGCTTATCCAACCTCAAAGCATTTCCATACAACTGCCAGACAGCTCCACGTAACCACTCCATACAAAGGGGGAAACCAAAGCAGCACAGTTAGTGCTGTCCAGCAATGAAAATTATGGCATGCAAGATTACAAGGAAGTACTGGAGTAGACAGGACATCTGTCACGATGACTAACGCAACTCCTGATGGAAAGGGCCATACAGTGTTTTGTGTACAGAAAACAGGATATGAAATGTGAGGGGTTTGAAAAAGAAAGTAGTGAAGCCTTGTCGCTCGTGACTGTTTAAATAGAAACACTTCACACAATTTTTCAATATTGGAGAGATTTGTAACTGTGCTGTTTCTGTAATACTGTGTTTTGAACGTATTCTACACAGCGAGTAAGAATTTCAAAGTAAAGTCCACACAATATGAAAAGTAAAAAACAACCTATCTGCTATCCTTTGGCTCTGGAAGTGACAAAAAGGAAAGGAAAAGCTAGAAAACAAGTTAAGAGGACAAATAGTGCTCAGCCACGGGCAGATGTTTTCCCTTGAGAAGAGTGTTTGCAAATGCACACAACACCTCCGAAGAACAATTGCAGTTTAATGACAAGAACATTTGGGCACTCAGAGCACTGCCACAGAAGGCAATCCTTTTTGCACATATTCAAGTACCATAATTTAAAACAGCATGAAAAATAGCCCAGTGTGGCTGCTGCAAATCCCTCCTCGAACCACGCGGTTTCTGGAATACAGCAGCTACTGAGATGAATTCAGATTACCAAACACACTGGGAAAAAACAATGACACAGCTTTTAGGAGCACTCAGATGGGAACTGGAATTGCCAAAGTGACCCAAAGCTAATGCCACAGCAGAGAAAAAGAATATGCCTTCAGGAAAACTTTCCCACAAGTTTTCTTATTTTTATTTATTTGAAAAAAATAACTTCTTCAGCTAAATCTAATTTTAAATGTTGCTTTCTGCCTCTCAAAGGCAATCCATGCAGTTGGTTCTGCTCAGCCTGCTCCAGCCGGAATCGGAGACCTGCCTTCCCATGGCAAAAGCCACGTCCTAAATAGAAGGGACAGAGGCAGTTTGGTACTCGGAGCTTGGTTACTGCTGAGTGTCTTGACCAGAACAAATATATGACTATATTAAAACAAAAGAAAACAAAACACTTGCTCCCGAATGAAGACCTCTCCAACATCTGAATATTTCTGACATTAAGGGATTCAGATGGATTAATTCCCCAGATTTTTAGGGTTTTTTTAATATCATTAAGCAATATTTTTGCTTTTCCTCTCTGTTGCCATCATTTAACTCAGCATGAATATTCATTAATCCCACAGATTAAGGCCAGATCGGGATGTGCTGAAATTCAATCTCTCCACTGGCTGCAATAAAACTGGTGGTGGGATGCAACTCTCCCCTCACTGACGCTGGTGTGAATTTGAAGCCACTCTACAATGTAACTGCGGTCTAGTGCAGGGCCCGAGCTTTGCTCTTTGAATGCCTTACAATGCCCTTTCAGGAGGGACATGGCACAAAACAAGCTCTTCTGTGAATGCCAGCAGAATTTCAAAGAAGCAGAAATGGTCACCATACCATTTTCTATGGTTTGAGACGTGCCCCCAGAGAAGGACGGCTAGATGCAGATCCCCTTTCCATTCCCACACCGTGTTTGCAGGAATGGAGGTCCCTCACAGGAGAGCGCTCAACACAACACTTGAAGTCAATGCAGACCCCAAAGCGCCTCCAGTGCAGCTTTTCCATGTGATCCTGGTGGTGCCTGGTGACAAGCCCAGCCTTGCACTTCCCTTGAGCCTGGGATGTGTCATGGGATGAGTTCGTGTCGGAGCTTGCCGGAGTGAGGCCGGCCTGCAGCTCCCTGCGTACAGGAGAGCAACCAAACATGCGAGAAGAGCGAGGCAACGTGCACGTGCTGGGCTGCAAAATGCAGCTCTTCAAGTCAAGACATGCCAGCCGTGGCTCCCACACCCCTACAGAGCAGCAACACTGAGCGCTAGGAAGAGGAAGAAAACCTTGGGAGCCACCATGAAGGCAGCCAGGGAAGTGTGGGGACATTGCATGGAAGTGTTTGTATCCCCTACGCCTGGTCCTTCAAGGTCAAGCCTCACCTCTATGGCACAAATCAGCTATGCCTCCGGGCAGTGACCTCTACGCCACATTAAAGCTATGGGCTAATTCAAGCAAGTTGGACTTGTATTCTGCCTACTGGGCCATGCAGGGCAGAAGAGGCCCCAGTAGCATGACCACCGCTGACATGTCCTCTACAGTGACATGCCCGGGAACGCGGGCATCTCGCGCCAAGGCCACCGGGCAGGAGGGAGATGACGTGGCTCTGGGAAGCAACACAGACCTTGGCAACAACACCACTTCCTTGCAGTTTTTTGGGCTACTGCAAGGGTTGTACGAACCTGCAGAAAGCATGGCTGCAAGTGACTGAGACACCTCCAAAACCAGCCCTAACTCACTGAGTTCATGACATATGGCAGGGCTGGGGTGTTTCGAG